AATATATAAAAAATATAAATAATACAAAATTACTCTGTATTTTGGTAGGGTATACCTCTTCTTACTACCTCCAACTGCCATGGTACCGCGCCTGTAGTGTTTAAATAATTACAGAATGTATTTCTTACGCCTATAGCGACTTCACTTGAATTTCCACCCAACCGACGGAGTCCCCTTAGTGGAAGTTGCTGTGAAGTAGAGCTTTGCTCTTCATATACAGGCAGGACCGATGTATTCTCAGATCTGTCATTTCGTAAGGAATTATGTAAGACACATGCGGCCAAAATAATTTTATCAGCGTTTTCAGGATTCACTTGAAGTCTACCATACAAGATTCTGAATTTTTGAATCAGGATGCCAAATGCATTTTCAACCACACGTCGAGCCCTTGACAGTCTATAGTTAAATATTTTCTGGTTTTCATTATCTCGTGCTGTGCTTCCTGGATAAGGTCTTAATAGATTTTCTTTTAAAGGAAAAGCTTCATCTCCTAATATCACGAATGGCACAATATCATCTGAATTAGGTAATGGTCTTGGTCCCGGAACATGAAGATTATTTTTTTCCACTGCTTTTCCTAGATTTGATTTTGAAAATATACCTCCATCACTCGATTTGCCATAACCTCCAACATCAACAACAATGAATTTATAATTAGCGTCTACAAGTGCCATGAGAACAACAGAGAGATAATGTCTTTTTGTAGTTGTAGAATAGAGATCCGCTATTTTTGGGAGCCTGGATTTGAACGTGCTTACCGTCAACTGCACCAATGCAGTTGGGAAACTGCCACATTGCCCAGAAATCATCAGCTATTTTTTTCCATCCATCTTCTGTTGGCTCAGGCATTTCTGTTCTTGACAGAACTCTCCATATTGCATCACAAGTGGAAACTACAATTGATTGTACTGTTGAAGGGGCAATTCTATAGCTCATTCCTAGACGGTACTGGGAAGTACCTGATGCTAAGTAACTGAAAATATATTAATTGTTTAAATAATTGTTATGTGTATTAATAATGAACAACATACCTCAAAGTTAATGCTAATCTTTCCTCTGCGGATATAGATCTTCTCCACTTTGTGTTCTGTTTTTGTATGTCTGGTTTTACAAGTTTCAGCAGATTGTCAAATTTCAAGAAAGTCATGCGAAAGTATCGAACAAATTGTTCTGGATCATCTTTGAGTCGAGCAAATGCTGTGTGAAATTCTCCTTCTTCCTCCCTAGCTCTCCATAAACGGTTAATCCAAATCTTCCTCTTTCTTTTTTTCACCTCTTCCGTTAATACTAGATACGCTCCGCATGCTATAACCACGTCCTCCTCTCTTGGATCCATGATACAAACTAACCAACTGTGGTACGTAATAACATGATTGGTGTGAATATGCACAACACAGTCGGTGCACGGTTACGACACAGTCGGCGCACAGTACCGCATGTGTGAATTGATCTTCACTCTTTTCAGTTAAAAACTACCATGGCGTCAACTAGTAAAGACGTTGGACCAAAGAAGAGAAGGGTCACAGAAGAATTAAGAAGTTTTCAAGACCGGTGGACTATAAATTATTTTTTCGTGGAAATTAAAACAAAGCCCATATGCTTGATATGCAACGAATCTGTTTCTGTTTTGAAGGAGTATAACATCAAACGGCACTACGAGACTAAACATGCAAATAAGTTTGATAGGTACAAAGGGTCATTTCGACAAGACCAAGTAAATGACTTAAAAAAAAAATTTTCTGCACAACAAAATATATTTTTTAGAGCGAGTTCTGAGTCAACATGTTACGTCAAAGCGAGTTATGCAGTAGCCATGATACTGGCAAAAAAATCTAAGCCATATTCAGATGGTGAAATGGTTAAGGAATGTTTGGAGAGCGTCGCTGAAATTCTGTGCCCAGATAAGAAAAAAGATTTCTCAAAAATAAGTCTGTCTCGTCAGACTATTACTAGACGTGTGAACGACATTGGAAAACATATTGAAGATAATTTAAAAAGTCGAGCATCCAAGTTTATTTTTTATGCTCTAGCTACAGTACAAGTACAGATATGGGAGATACTGCCCAAGTGGCAATTTTTATCAGGGGTGTTGATGTCCAGTTTAAAAAGACATAAGAATTAGCGGTACTGTGTCCACTTAAGGACACGACTAAATCACGAGATTTGTTAGAGGCAGTTACGTCGACATTGAATCGGTTTTCGTTACAACTTAGCAACTTATCTGGCTTAACAACAGATGGTGCTCCAGCAATGGTTGGGAAAAACGAAGGTTTAGTAAAACTGATTGAACATGAGGCCTTAAAAGTCCGTAATACTTCAATCCTAAATTTTCATTGCATTATTCATCAGGAGAATTTGTGTTCCAAGTCCTTGAAAATGGACCACATCATGAAAATAGTCGTCAAAACAGTGAACTTCATTAAATCACACGGGTTGAATCACCGTCAGTTCCAAGAATTTCTAAAGTCTTTGGACTCAGATTATGAAGACGTTACATTTTATGCAGAAGTAAGATGGCTCACCCGT